CTGTGAGGCCTGGCAGCGAGCCTGCACTTCTCTGAGGGAGTGACAGCCCTGATTATATGTAAAGGATGCTTCGCTTCTCTCCAGGGAGTAGTAGGGGAGTAGTAAGGGAGGCCCGAGTGGAAGGGGAGGCTGCTACAGTCTAGATAAGAGGTGTTGGTGACAGTGGAGGTGGTGGGGGTGGAGCAGTCACTCGGAGGAAGGATGGGCGAGGCTTCTGACAGGTGGCCGGGAGGAGCTCAGAGGCGCTGTGTGGATTAAAGAGCAGAGATTGGCAGAATGGATTTAAAAAACACATGATCCAACTATATACTGTGTTCAAGAGGCACTATAGATTAAAAGACACAAATAAAAGATACCAGAAGAGAGCCGAGCGGCTGTGTTAATATCAGACAAAGTAGACTTTAAGGCAAAAATTATTTTTAGGGACATAGAAGAACATTTTATTTTACTTTTTAAATGTATTTTTATTTATTTTAGAGCGGGAGGGGGAGAGAGAGACATCAATGATGAGAGAGAATCATGGATCGGCTGACTCCTGCATGCCTCCCAATGGGGATCGAGCCCACAACCTGGACATGTGCCCTAATGGGGAAGCAAACTGTGACCTCCTGGTTCATAGGTTGATGCTCAACCACTGAGCCATGCCAGCCAGGCGAGAAGAACATTTTATAATGATTAAGGGTCAACCCCTTGAGGAGATTATAGGCATATCTACACCTAATAACAGTCACTATATACATGGAGAAGGGAGCAATAGACAATCTGGTGATGGTGGGAGACCTTAACCCCCTATTTTCAGAAATCGGTACCACATTTAGACAGGTTCGCAGTCAGTGGAAGACTCACACACTGTAGGCCAGCTGGCCTCCCAGACACCCACAGACTCTCCCCTTCCCAAGGAGAGAAGACGTCCTCTCAGTGCACAGGAATGCCCTGCGGGATAGGCCAGACGCTGGGCCTGAGTCTCAACACATTTCACAGGGCTGAACGCACACAAAGTCTATTCTGCAACCACAGGAAGAGTGAGAAGCCAGGAGCCAGGAGGACATTCCCAAACCTGGACATTAAACAGCCTCTGATATAACCAGTGGGGCAAAGAAGGGAGATTAAAAACATACTTTGAGATGAATGAAAATAAAAATAGACCCAAACTGACCAAGAGAAGAGAGAAAAGGCTTAGATGACTAAAATCAGGAGAGAGAAGGGACTTTATTAGTGAATTTGCAGAAATAAAAAGGAGTATAACGGAGTATCATGAATAGTAATTGTGTGCCAAAAATTAGCTAACTTAGATAAGATGGAGAAATTCCTGGAAAGACATAAACGAAACTGACTAAAGAAAAATAAATCTGAACAGGCTGATAACAAGAAAAGAGATTGAATTATTAATTTAAAAACTTTCCACAAGAACAAACCCTGGCCCAGATGGCTTCATGCATGAATTCTACCAAACACTTCAATGATCAGTTCCAATCTTTACAAACTTTGAAAAATAGAAGAGGAGAGAACGCTTCCCAGCTCATCCTGGGAGGCCAGTGTCCCCAACACCAAAGCCAGAAAGAGACATCGCAGCCGGAAGACCAAAGGCCAGCTTCTCTGTGAAGGCAGACGCTCAGCCTCAGTGCAGTGTCCGGGCGGCTGTTCCTGGTGCAAGGACACAGGGATTGATGGGAGAGGATTGAGAGTACAGAAATAAACCTTAACACGTGCTGCAAGTCACTAAGCATCCGAGAGATGCAAATCAAAACGACAATGCGGTACCATCTCACACCTGTCAGAATGGCTGTCATCAACAAATCAACAAACGACAAGTGCTGGCGAGGATGTGGGGAAAAAGGAACCCTCTTGCACTGCTGGTGGGAATGCAGACTGGTGCAGCCACTGTGGAGAACAGTATGGAGTTTCCTCAAAAAACTAAAAATGGAACTCCCATTTGACCCAGTGATCCCACTTCTAGGAATATATCCCAAGAAAACAGAAACCTCGATCAGAAAGGATATATGCATCCCTATGTTCATAGCAGCACAATTCACCATAGCTAAGATTTGGAAACAGCCTAAGTGGACATCAGCAGATGAGTGAATTAGAAAACTGTGGTACATCTACACAATGGAATACTTTTTTACTGTGGTAAAAAAGAAGGAATTCTTAACATTTACAACAGCATGGATGGAACTGGAGAGCATTATGCTAAGTGAAATAAGCCAGTCGGAGAAAGGTAAACATCACATTATCTCACTCATTTGTGGAATATAATGA